CTTTTTCTCTCATTTATTTTTCTCTCAATTTATCTTCTCTTCTAAACAGAAATGACGGCAAACTGCAGTTTATCAGTCGATGACTGAGGATACAAGAACGATAAAACTTAGCGTGTTACGCAAAAGCGCACAAGAACTGGCTCAGATGTTTGTTTTCCAGCAACAGGAGGAGAGGAAGTGGAATGTAAAGCCAGGCCGGTCGTGAAGGCGGCGCAGCGCCCTGCAGTGAAGAGGGATCAGAGCCCTGCAGGGGCGACCCTCTCGCCCTCGCCACCCCCCGTGGGCACCCCCATTTTTAGAAGGGACGAACAAATCGCTACTGTCACCCACATGACAGTCGACAGGCCCAAGGCACATTTTTCACAAGACCAGCGCACTTCCGTGGAGAACAGAAATTACAAAACTTTAAGCTGTCAGTTAATACATAAATAGAAAGACAAAATGATTGAAACAACCACGACAATTTGAAATATTCAAAATTTAATGTTCAAAAGCGGTACACGGAATATCCAATTCGTTGCTATTTACAACGTATTGAGAGAAAATTTCGTTAGTATTGAAAATAGTTTGTAATAGACCTATGCAATAAAAATTATATTTAATAATAAAATGCTCATCAACTGATATTTAAATTGTGAACATGTTCGTGTGAATTCATGAAGTTAAACTGTGAATATGTTCTACTGAAGTAGTGAATTTTGTGGGTTAACTACCTCTCATTTGATGCTCCATTTATGATCATAAAGAAGAATTAATTTATAAATAAATTTTAATAATTCATAAAGTACAAATTTACCATTAGAATCCTTTCTCACGATGATTCATCTTCAATATTGTTTAATTTTTTAAACATTGTCTTCAAAGAAAAAATGACTAATTTTACAGCTTTAGGTAATTGAATGAATATTTTCAAGACAAAATACTTTTAAACTGTTTTTGATTAAATACACGAATATCAGACCTTACTAAAAATCGCCAGTCGAAGTACATTTGACTTCCGCGTCAAATTGGGGCACAAATCTCAATTTTTACTGTCACGGCCGGCACGCTTCAATTTTCCCACTCTCGGTACACTATTCTGTATTGAAGTGAGTTCAGTGATTCGGTCCCTCACCCCTGTCAGTGAAACACTGGTAGTATTTGATGTGTTGTCCGTCAAACGAAACACAATTCATTTTATTTTACTAGCCGTTAAGTTGTGATTGGAATAAGGTAACTTCAAGGGATTTGAAGAGAAAACGTAAAAAAAAACGAAACAATAACGGACATATGTTCAGTTAATAGAAAGATAATTTATTTGGCAATGAGGACCATCTGTACTGTTCCACATAAGCCTACCAAACAATGAAATATATCTGCATTAAATGAAGTGTGAATACAGACAATTTAGAAGGTCAGTGTGACAAACAACAAAATCCGAAGTATGATCTTGGGGCATGTTAATTCGTGGTATTACAAAATATAAATTGTAATGTGAACTACAAAGAAATGGAACTAGATGTGAAACAAAATACTTTTTTTATATTCCATTCCGCACCTCGTGCATTGTACTTCGTGAGGAGGGCAAACGCACAGACCAAGGAGGCAGGTGGCGGGTCTGTCGTGGGAAGAATGTCGCTTATCTCCCTCGCGCCCCCCGAGGCTCCGCAGAGGTCGACGACCGCCTTTCGAGAGCGCCCCTGTCGCCCTCGGGGGTAGAGCATCGCCCCCGCCCCCAGCTGCGCCTGCCGCCACCTGCGACCCACCTGCCCTGCCCCGCGCCGCGCCGGAATTCTTCTGCTCCTCTGGGAGTGATTTCGGAGGCAGCGGATACGACCGAAGGATCACCGCCAGCACGAGCTATCATTTAACTGCACACAAATAATAAAATGCAGGGAGCTACGTTACCGGTCTCGTGCTCTGCGTTTACCATTGTTACACGATGAAAAAGTTCTCGTTGAAACACTAGTATTGTTCTATCCGCATTGTGCATCGCATCTTTGAAGAATCTGCCGTCAACTTACACAATTGTGTAATTTATTATCTTACTGTAAATGTATCCAAAATCCCAGAAATTTCATCCCAGAAACTGAGCTTCGCGACTCCAAGGCATTCATCAAGAAACTGTGACTAGTCTTAAAAACAACAATGAATGAACAGTGGCAGTTACTCAGGATTCTAAACATTTATAATAATGAAAATACTTCCATAGCTGATATTGATTTATTGGCACCCACATTTATATTCTTGTCAATTACTCCTAAATTGTTCAATAGTTTTAGTAAATATTGTTTCCAAATTTAATTATAATTAAAACACCGCACTGTGCATTTACACTCGTCGCAAAATGACGCATACTAACGGACAATAACGGTGTAAAAGAAAGTTTATAAAAAAGTTAAATCGAGAAAAGATATATTTCAGAGTATTTTTATCAATACTTTATATTTATAATAATTATATCAATATTAATTTACGACAACATCATCACGATCAAACATCTGGATTCAAAACAGCACATTTTAAATTTCAAAGTCCCGCAGCCATTCCCTGCACAGTATGTTGATATTTTTGTGATCCGTTTTATGTATTTGCTTTCGCTTTCAAATACTTTCTCAAGTTAATGAATTTGATGGAATCGATTATTCTTCCTCTTTATTAGAACCTGATAAGTTCATTGAAATAGGAGACTAAAGTTTTTACAACTCCCTTTCAAACAATCTCCACCTAATCAATTTCGGGAATTTTTGCATCAATTGAATGTTTATTGATTCGAAAACCAATTATATAATGAAAGCTGTAATGATACTCTTACTTAATTTCGTTTTAGAAGGGCCCTTTCTCACAGGATTTAAAATACCCTCTCGTCAGAACTCACAAATAAGAAAAGCAATATCTTTACACAAATTTGAGATTTCCTAGATTTCTTTAGGAATTTGACTTTTGGAAAATTGTTTTAACAAACTCAGAACACTAATTGATGCTTCCTTCCTGTGCAGTTTTAGTACACTAGCGTTGGACTCGCTAACTATTACTGTGCTTTCAATATCCGAACAACCACAAGAAAAACGAGCGAGTGCAGTAGGCGCGTCAAGAAAACAGGGGGTGAGAGCAGGAAGAGTGGAGCGCGCGTCGTGAATAACGAAGCAGGCGGGGGAAGCCAGCGAGCAGCGTGCGGCCGAGTGGATGCGCGGGTGGGCGAGCGAGAGGGAGGGCGAGCGAGCGAGAGGGTGTGTGGGCGGCTGGAAGGCTCGCTTCCGGGACCCGCACCGGGGCTCCACCTCCAGCGCCTTGCTTCGGCTGGGCGCGGGCGGGGGCGGTGAGGCACGGGGCGGCGTGGCGTGGCGTGGCGTGGCGCCGCGCGAGCATCAGGGTCACTGGGGCGCATCCGGNNNGGCGGGCGGAGTTTAGGCACCGGACACGCCTCCTCCTCGCCCGCGTCCGCCACTCCCCCGTTGTTGTGGTCATGGTTAAAAGGGTAGGAGGAGTCTCCGGGGATCTTACAATAGCGGTCTCTAACTTTTTACATTGTTCCTCGTAACTCTTCGTACGCTGGAAAGCCACGCTTGGCATCTAGCACATATCCCCGGAACTGCAAGGAGGGAGAGTAGGACTAGCGTCTTCTTTTCAAGTCACCTTTATTGTTGACTCGTCTCAATTTACTGGTACGGAGTGTGAACCTTTTTAATGTTCTGAAATGATTCCACAACCTCGAGGACAGACTATGCTCTCCTCTGTTACATGCGCCATATCAATTTCGTCTATCCTCTATGTCTAGTATTAACTTTAAATACTTTCTCAAAAACAATGCATTTAGCTCAAATACAAACGATATTTTAAAAACTTTTACGCGGAGAGCTTGTTTGCTTTACAACAAAATACTGCTGGAAAAGACTCGGCTCAATTCTTCAGAGTTAACTTGGAAAGCAATCTTGCGAGGTGTTCAGCACTCAAGCGTTATAACTAAGATAGCCTTCTCTGAAATGACAAGTGTGTACATTTTCACTTTTCCACATCCACTTGGGGATGTTTTGCACCAGCGAGATCTGCAGAACATGTCTGCACCAGAATAGTCCTTGAACTGGTCATGTACTTCGTAAGTGATCAAAACACGACTACCAGGAAAATATAGTAAATTCCGTTTACAAATTTGCAGTAAGGATTTTTTTTTTTTTTTGTAATTTTATTTTTGGTAGTCATTACATTGTTCAGTTTACATATTAACTGTGCAAAATGTTTGATGGTCTTAATCTATCTTATACTAACTTAAAATTATACATTACAACTATATAAAAAATATACTGGGAGAGGAAGCAGGAAGCACTACAGATTAGTATTATTCCAAATTTGCGAACATTTTATAAAATGAATGGAGGGGATATCTGTTGTTAATTCGCGTTTGATAATTGGGAGTTTCGCTTATAGGAGGATGATGCTTGAATTAGGGGAATTTCATTAATCGACCAAAGAGATTGACATTTTTCTTGTATTTTACTTCAGAAAACTGCAATATTTCATTTCATACTATGTACAATAACAGTTATGCTTACATACTTGAATTTAATATATAGCTTCTACTTGTCTTCTACAATCACTTAGCACGACCGGCCATGTGTGTGAGAACTGTGTGCAAGCAAGTTAGATACTTAAGTTTATTAGATACTTAAGAACTCCAGGAAATCCAAAAACAATAAAATTTCCGATATTCCTATACAACGGATGAGGTATTTTAGAAATCAGTGACAATATAAAATATATATTGACTTTTAAATATTTTAACAGCATTACTTTAGTGCGTGCTCACGATACACTTCAAATAAACAATAATGAAAAAAATATACTTTTCGAAAATCATTGAAAGACAAAAGAGTTAGCATCAGTATTATCAAGAAGATATTTTTAGTGAGAACAATAATTTATTACATGATAGAGTGTCTGAAAAAAAGGCGTTGCTTAACAATAGCATAAAGCATCAACGTACTATATTTTAGGTATTCTCCACAGAAAAAAAAGGTCCATACCTCGAAAAACTGCATGAACGAATCTACGCTCTTCACAAGTGGCGTTGCGTCGTCACAATAGCTGGCAACACCTAGAACAGAGAAGGGAGCTCCTGAATATTTCTCCCTGGCGTACATAAACCAAAATTAGCATTAATTACGTTTGGCGAAACACATTTCAAATCTGTTCTCACGAATCAATTGTTTTATGTTTCCGGGCGCGTCAACTACTATGGTCATTAGTTCCGTAAGTGTAATAGTTATATCCCGGGGAGTTGCGATGTTCCTCCCCTGCTGGAACGTGAGTTCCAATGCCAACCTACAAGTCGGTTTGCGGACTTCCCCTACAGGCTCTCCACTAGCGGGGCACCGCCCCAACCGGGAGACGATACAAGCTTCCGTGTGGTAGTGAAAGTACTTGTATGCGTGTGCGTGGGTAAGGGGACGAGAAAGGAAACATCGCGCGTGGTCAGTGGCCCGTTTGTTAGGGTACAGCTCTGGTATTCACCTGGTATTGACTGGAGAGCTGTTCTTGTGAAAGTCAAACTCCAAAATAAAGGGTCTTATGGACATATCGCTAAATCCCGAGATCAATGGTAGTTCCATACTGAAAAAAGTATAGAAAGGGCACAGCGCTCACATAGCACCGTGCAGCGATTTGATATGTAAGGTAATGCAACCATACCTACAAAAGATATTCAACTGATATGTGAATCCCTCCTGGCGCATATAAAATTCGAGCTTCCGGTTTCAAACACAGAACCCGGTCTATATAGCTCAGAATGTACCTCAGAGTTCAAAAGTCTGGGCGATCGAATTTGAGACCCAGTATGAAGCTATATTCACTTTGGAAACAACGACCAACAATGTCAAGACTGTTCGTACGAGACTAGCTATTGTTTTTTAATTATCAGAACTAGAATATCTGGATCTATTATAACCCCAAAGCTATAGTAAAAAAATAAAGTAAAGTAAGTAAAAAAAGTAAAAAATCTTCTATGCATCTTAATTTACAGCATTTAATTTACTTCTTTACAGCGTGTTGCCTTCTTCACTTCACTTAGCGAAAACATGTGGATCCACCACCCAGGAGCCATGCGGGACAAAGGACTCGCTAAGAGCCCATGAGCAGCGGCCGCGTCCCCACTCGCACAAAGAGGGACTTTTTGACGCCCGAGCCACCGTCGCACAAAGGTGCTTCGGAAGAAAAACGCGGGAGCCGCTAGGCAGCGGCGGCAGCGGCGCGTTTCGGAAAACGGATCAGCCTGCTGCCGGGGCGCGTCAGCCAGAGGCCCCGGCCCCGGTGTGAATGGAAGCCGCGGCGCTCACAAAAAGCTACGCGATGCCTCGTGATTATTACGGTTCCCTTGTCCTCTGTATTGGGGTCGCTCGGTGGGGGGTTCAGGAAAATCTTCACACTCATAAAAGAGTCGCAGTCGGGTACGGTTTGTGATTTTTTTCGTGATTCTTATTTGTTCAGACAATATCTGTTTACTAAATTGTAACAAATAAAAACTCCAATTGCTACTTCCAATAAATGTTTTCCTGGAGCCTTCAGGTATATAAGACGAAATACTATAAATCCTTTTGTGTACAAGTTGGGTTTTATAATTTTGAATTAAAAAGGTATTATTAAAAAGAGAAAATAACGCAGTTATTTCATTTAAGGCAATTTTTAGTAGCTACAAAATTGGACTGGTGCCATTATATACATTATTTGATTCACTACGTGTTCTCTTCCAGCCACTGCAACTGTCTTAATACAGGGCAAATTGCGTAATATAAATTTCATTGCTTATGGAATTGGAAGCCAAATAGCCAACCGCTTTCACGCGAGCAATCCTCGCGTCGCGTCGCGTCGGAAAGGAAACGCCGGCGGAGCCGCGGAAATCGCAAGTTGGGCCAACGCCGCGCGCGGAAAGTGTTAAAGAGCCGAAGCGCCTGCGTGAAGGCGGCTTCCAGCGAACGCAGCGTTCATTCAAAACAAACTTCGCTGGCAGTCAGTCGCGCTTCCTTTCGTCGGTCGACACACGCGCTCCTTTCCCTGCCAGACGCTGAAAATACATGTACCATATGGCAGCAAGGACACGTACGTGACCCACACCTCGGTCCGACGAGGGGCGATTGATTGCAGACTCATACGCTAAACGCAGCCGGTTATCGAAGAAAGTAATGTAATATCTATAAATGTATCAACACAAAATTAAAAGGGAAAGCAAACAAACAAATCTGACCCAAACTTTCATTTCAACGTCGAAAATTCAGCGCTGAGTAAATAGCTTAAGTGTTGGCCTACGAATACTATTGTCATTTTTACTTTCTCGTACACGTAAAATAGAGAGAGTGATTAGTATTATTTAGACTATTAAACAAAATGTTTGGTAACTAATAAAAAAACATGTATTTAAATGTTTTAATTGGGTTAATAACCTACAGAGACGTTTAGACCTTTACTTTTAACGTCTTTTTCAAGTTCATTAAACAAATAATTTACAATCGTGAGTCGTGATACAAATATGTTGAATACATTGAGTATAGTAACCATGCTTCTGCAAAAACTCGACCAACATTATTCAGTTTTAGATTCATCCCTGAAAAAATAATATTCTTATTAACTGAAAGAAGAGTTTGGTAATTTTAAAAAAGTATTATTTTTTGGGGTAAATCTAAAACATTTTAAAAATACAGGTAAATTATAATGCAATGAATGATCAGGCAATGATGAAAGGATTGGCAGAGGAAGACTAACACTGTACTCACATTGTTCCACATTTATCCAGCAAGATCACCTGAGGTAATAATGAAAGGGAAGAGGACGTATCTAATCAATATTTATTATTATTATTATTATTATTATTATTATTATTATTACTATTATTATTATCAGGATAGTTTATTTATAATTACAATACCCCACTATCAATATTTAGTTCTATGCTCTCATAACTCAAATGTGACTTAATAATTATTTTATATGTCACTATGTATGTATGTTCTGCATGTTAATGCAATCCTTAATCGTGAACAAGGAGGATACTTTTCATGGTACACAACCGTGTCACAATTATATATATATATATATATATATATATATATATATATATATATATATCACAGAACCATGAAACGCTCTCGAAAACAGCTTTCCAGCTGTAATACAGGAGTCGGAAGCACATGCACCAGCACCCGTACGCATCTCGCATTCAAGACTCGGTTTTAAAATACACATAATACTTATCACACAAAAACTAAACTCAATCTAATGTTTATAAAAAAGAATTTTTACTGAAGAGGGCATAGGACTGCACTCTCTAATTTCAATTATTTCTCTTGGAGTACTACATTTCATGACAAAAGGAAGCTTCAGCGCCATTTACAAGTTAGCCAACTGCAAACGAACGAATGGGGGAAGGAGAGTCTAATACGCTCAAGGACGCAACGACCGCAGGACTTTCAGTTGTGTTGCCAGCACTACATGTCAAAACGTCCCATTCTTATAAAAATCGCTCTTTATAGAGAGTGGCGCATTCCATTGTGCCATCAATCCCGCCATTTTTTGCACAGTCGTCAGGAGAATTGTGACTGTGTGGTATTCAATGATTTGAGAACCAAGAATCTATCCCAAACCAACATTAATATTCTTGAACATGTTCATGTCACCAACTGTTATAATGTCCCTTCGGCTTCTGATTGCCGACTGGAGGGGTTCTAGGGTGGGAGGATATTAAATGGCGGCAGCTGCCCTACTCCCTGTACGAGTATCTAGGGACTCGAGTAGTATCAAGGGAGGCGCGCCGCGTGCGTAGAATACAAGCAAGTAAGTGGTATGCTACGCGCGAACTGGGTCGCTGGAATCGTGATTTCTTCTTTTCTAATGAGAGAATGTGGGGTCCAGTGAGAAATTATGAAAGAGGGAGGCAGAGGTGGGGGAACTCGTTCATAGCCCAAGATATGGACCTGGTTAGCAGAGTGAAAAATAAATATGTCGATGTATGCAAGAAAACACAAAAAAGGACATGAAAAGTACATATACTGCCAGAAGAAACAAGACAAGAAAACATGGGGAAAAGCTACTTGAAGTCCTTTGCTTTTGTTGATAGCTAACTTAAACTTCAACATTTTTCCACAAATTCAAATGGGTTATTTGTATTAGTGTGTATAATTCAATGACTCCCTAGTAACAATTTATAATTGTACAACTTCTTAAACGAAAGTCTGTCATTTTAGCACCTTTTCATTTTTCAAAACATGATTTAGTTTTTAAAAATAATTTATAGCTTTCTCATATTTATCTTCACTTCCTTATATTTTTGTGGACCTATGTTTTTGAAGGTTCGTTACGACAGAGTACTACGGTTTTAGTACCTGCTGGACGTACAGCCTATAAGAAAATATTCACGTTTCCGTTGGTAAACAAACGGAATATTTCATATTCATGAAAAACCTAAAAACACTCTGTATGCCCTAAAACCTTTAAAGGAAAGCACACAAATACATGGCACACAAATACTCACTGAAATGTAAACACACTATTTCAATACGAATACATTTCCTACTAATGATGAAGGTTATCTCAGTAAGGTAAGAAAAGTGCTGCCATTTTATGGCCTATTTGACTACAAGCTTCATTCTTTTTGGTTCAAAAATGCTTCAAAAAAGGAATACCAGAAACAAAGATATGAAAATGCAACCAATCAATTCATGGCGATGATGTAAAACCAAGCACACAGGTCTCTTAAATTCCTCTTCACAGAAGTTTTCAGTTAAAATAATTTATTATCAGTCTATATTTTGCTTTATTTCCATGTATCAGAGCGAATTCGAGTAGATTTTTTTAGAAGCGTGCTTTGGGGTTACCTTAAAATCTATTCCTCTTGATATAGCTAGAGAAATTTAAAAAAATATTTTACTTCTTGAAGAGAGGATTGGAATTGGCACTGAAGTGTTGACATTGAGTGACAATACAGCGATTTCTAAATTCAATTTTCTTTATACATATCTCGAAATATAACGCAGAAAAAAATTCACATCATCATAAACACATTTCATAGCAAACAATTTCACTACACGCCATAAATTATGTTTTGAAAAA